TTCTCAAATCACTTATGTGTCAAGCAAGCCATGGACTTAGAATGGTATCCAATGTCTCTAGGTGGTACCCCAGAATCAATGGTAATACATAATAAAGTTCCCTGCATCTGAAGAAAAGAGAAAACAAAACAAAACAAAACAAAACAAACCCACAAAACCCCTTTGTGTATTCTTAAACACATTTCTGCAAAATGTTGTCATTCTGAGGTACTTCAATACTTTCAATGCAGTGTTCCAGCTGGCAGGTCCTATTTCTGTGCCATTAGACTGCCATCACAGTTGAAAATCTCGTTAGAGAGAAATTCTCACAAGACTCATGACAATAGTGCTCCTGGTCTCAAGGAGAACTCTTGAAAGTTATTTACTTAAAAGCTTCAGGTTTAGTTTCACCAACCTTGGAAAAATATAGTCAAACAGATAGGAATAGATGGATGGTAACTGTGTAAATATTTCAGGAACTCAGGAGAGATGTAACTTTCTGTTTCATTGCTCCATCTCTGTAATACTCTAGGAGCTCATGCAATCAGTTTAGGTAACCTGTCTTTCATGGTCCTAGGACTTAGGGTCAAATTTGTAAAGGCAAATAGATGCTATTTCAAATTTTCATCCACACATCTTAGCACTGTTATTGTTAATGATCCTCTGATAGAAATTTCACCTCAGTGCAAGTTCATGCCATTTACCAATGCTCACAGAGACAGGTGACCAAACGGCCTGTAACTTAAATGGGAATTTGATAACAATGTTGGTTTTTAAAATCACACAAGGACCCAATATGCAATTTTAGATACTAGGCAGAGACAGCCTCTGAATCCTATTATAACTGGTGCTAATGGGAGGGCTTTTCATAAGCTTTAAGATTTGACCTAGTAATGATAAATATCCTTTCACTCTGTTTATGTCCAAAGCAAAAACCTATGATAATTTGAATTTATGACTCAGGGTAGGTGATTTAAGTAAAAAGCATGTTAAGGTATAGAAGACCCTAAATACTGAGCCTTATGGTGTTTCATACACACTCACATGCCAGGTGGCATTCTACTGAGCAATGCCTGGGCACAGGGCTTAGCACAGGCCAGCTGCCATTCCTAATAAGTGGCTTAGATATGCCAAATCCATTTTGGAAGGCAGAAGCTATTAGACGTAAGGGCATGAGTCACATGGTTCCAGTTAACCTCCAGATCCAGGAGATGTTCTTGACTATATTTAATGTTTACATTTAGGCTGACAGTCCAATATGGAAAAAGGAGGTAGATATGGTCCTTTGGGCCTACAAGGATGTTTGAGAGGGACTCCTCATCACAGACTGTAGTGATAGGACAAGGGGTAATGCGTTAAAACTTAAACAGGGGAAGTTTAGGTTAGATATAAGGAAGAAGTTCTTTACTGTGAGGATGGTGAGGAACTGAAATGATTGCCCAGGGAAGCTGTGAATGCTCCCTCCCTGGCACTGCTCAAGGCCAGGCTGGACAGACTCTTGGGTGATATGGTTTAGTGTGAGATGTCCCTGCCCATGGCAGGGAGGTTGGAACTAGATGATCTTAAGGTCCTTTCCAACCCTAACTATTCTATGATTCTATGGTAATAGCACATAGGAGGCTATGAAATGTGTGGTTCCTATGAGATACTTGTGAAAGCTATGGTAAGTAAACATGAAAAATTAGTTTCCCCAAAGTCATTGATTGAAGTATATTTGCTTTGTGGTGAAAGCACACATAACACATCTGGTCAGCTACTGGTAAAGTATCGATCTGAAAGTAACAATGAAGTTTGCAAGGGTCCTTAGTTTCTGTTGGAGAGATCTCATAAGCCTGAAGTAACAGCTTTCTCACAACTTTCCTGAATCTGTATGAATTGCAGTTGACATAATTATTAAGACTTCACAAAAATTTGGGGGGATTTTTGCATGTGTGATGGAAGGCTTATTTTTGACGTAAAAACTACCCCTCTGCCAAATTTACAATTCTTGCTTCAAAGCCGAGTGGGGCTGGAGAATTTTACAGAAAAGATCTCAAAGTATTAACATGAGCAAAGTGGCACTTTGTTCCTAGCCTCATTCACTGAAGGAGCTAAATTATTTGGCTGAAATATAACAGCATTCAGCCAGGGACACAGGCAGGGTATGAAAGGTTTTGGCTTAAACTCAGTGCTTCAATAACGTATAAACAATTAAAATCAGTTTTGTGTACTGGGAATGAAAGCTGTCTTCACTGGTGTCTTCAGAGGCACATAGCAAGTGGTGCAGCTCACACCATGTGTAAGACACATAGAGTTCTAAGTCTGCTTCTCTTTCCAATGCTGCAGCAGGGAAAATGATCTTTTAATAGAAATACCAGAATAGTTTAAAAGGTTGTTAATAGCCCAATCTATATAATATTCATTTATTTTCCACCTAGCATTCCATTTTAACTAGAAACTCAAGAAGCAACCAGGAAATAACATCACCTGAGAGTATTCCTAGCATTATTCTCTAGGACATGTCCAAAGCAGAACTCAAGTCTTCCAAGCTCATGAGAGACAAGGAGACTTATGAGGAGTGAGAGATGCATATCAGTCCTTCCTGTGTGCCAGCTGATGTTGAGAAGATGCACATGCCAGTATGACTCAGCAGCAACAGACCTTCATCTCCTGGAGGCTTCATGCATTTGACATCAGAATGACTCAGCATCCATACAGAGAGTACAGAAGTCCTTTGCACAGCTGCATCAGAGCATCTTTAAAAGAACTTCAGAGAAAGAAATGTAATTTTCAAGGTCTCCTTTTTCTTATAAGGTATTGCAGTAACCTTCCTGTGATTGTTTCAATGAGATATTGCTGCATGGGGCTGGCTGTGGCTCCACAAGTCTTACAAAATAGTATTGCATCTCCTCTAAGAAGTTCTTACCATCTTTTCCATCAGATTTTTATATTTGCCAATACTAAAGTAACTAAACACAAGTATTGTAAGATAAGGGTCTTCACTGAATTCTGATGAAAGGATGTCTAGCTACATCCTACAGTCTTGGGCATTTTTTGTGCCTAGAAATGAACAGCCTGCCTTCAACACGTGCCTAGTGAACAGCCTGCCTTCAACACGTGACCAGCTCTACACTCCCTAGCACAAACACACAGCCATTGCTAGGTCTTCCAACTCCAGTGAGGAGTTCTAATGGAAAATTTACACTAAAATGAGCAAGATCCCTTCACCCATGCTTTGAAGGAAGCCACAGCTATCCATCCTCAATCAAGAAGTCCCACACAGAGCACAGATTCACTCCACAGAGGAATCACTGTGTTTGTTATGCTTTCGAGTTCATGAGGTCATCTATGTAGTAGCACAAGGACTCATATTCCCACAAAGAATAACAGACTTCTTTTGACCAAAAGTCAGTTCTGTCAAGCTTTGACATCAGTGATGTGAAAAAGAGCTGGGGGTTCAAATCTGATGATAGACACTTTTACAGTGTCACAGGACAAGTTTTCAGTCACCTTTTCAAACCACAGCTAAGGAATTAACTTTAAAATTAATATGCAGAAAGATTACTTAGGCTGCAAGTCCTTTTGCTGTCATTTACAGTTTTAGCCATACGACTGTGGGACCACAGCTGGTACGTGACCAGCTGTCAAGGAATACAGGCTGAGGAACTGAGGTCTGACACTGGAAGTTAGGAATCATCAGATAAATTATTTCCTGGCAACCTTTATTCTGTTTGCTCATACAATTGCATTTAAATATAGTCTTTAATTATGTAATCACTTCTTCTTCTTCCCTTTTTTGCCCCTTACACTCAATTCAGACAATGGACATCCATGGTAGGTAAATTAAGAATTTTGGAGGCAACCATAGATGTGCAACAGACCCTTAATCTTAAATTATGTTTTTCAGCATAGTTCTTTTTTATATGTGAATTTATATGAACTGACAACATCAGTTAGGTGAATTTTGAGTGTCTTTTACTACAGTTTTGCAAGAGATTAGCAGAAGCAGTCTTTGCTTTTCATGCATCACAAGCTTGATCTCCAAGCATTGCTATGTGAAAAGTTCCAGTATTCAGTTGATTTGTTTCCAGAGAAAATTGTTTGTACTAAACACTAAAATGTGACCATTTTTCATGTGAGACGTTGCACTTTCACTGAACATCATGAAAAAATATGGGATATGAGCAATTGAGGTGCAGTTCCCACAAGGCACAAAAGTAGCATTCCACATTTAAAGAATCCAAACAAACAAACCAGTTTTAAACATAAAAGTCTGAGGTTGAAAATTGATGAGTTCAGGCTCAGACCTTCAGCATTCAATTTTTCACTGAAAAACCAATATTTTCTTTGGGGGAAGATTTCAGTCTTCCCACTAATTCTGCTTCCAAGCAGTAGCCAGCACTGTTTGAAAATGTTACTAGGCAATGGCAGAGCAGCAGCGAACAAATGAAACAAAATTCTTTCCTCAATGTACTTTAGCTTGCATATGAATTTCAAAAGAAGAAACTGTTTCTAGTTTTGTTTACTTAGCCTTTTTCAGCTCCTTTGTTTATGGTTATAATGAAGTTCTAGGGGCAGGATGACCCCCTCCTGAAGAACACTGTGTTTTTGTCCCTGCCAGTCAATTGCTCCAAGGATTGAAAACACAACAGTATGGGTGTTTTTTTTTCTCAGCAGTTTAAGAAGCTTTGATATTTGCTGTTTAATGCCTGTTTACCTTTTCTAACACACCGCTGCCCAGACCTGAAAGCTTTTCCCATTGTTCAGAAGAGGGTTATTAGTTCTAGTTTAATCTGGATAAGTTGTATACTTATATAAGTATATATATTATATATATACACTTATATATATTATATATATATAGAATCATAGAATCATAGAATAGTTAGGGTTGGAAAGGACCTTAAGATCATCAAGTTCCAACCCCCCTGCCATGGGCAGGGACACCTCACTCTAAACCATATTACCCAAGGCATATACTTATATATATACTTACATAAGTATACACAACTAATGTAATATAACTATAATAAAATACTAGGTGACTCATCTGTCATGGCTGCTTCTATTCTGGTCTGTCCGTATCTTCACACTGTTTTTCTAGGTTTGCCTGCAGTTTGCGTATGACTGACTTTAGGCAAATGTTCTTCATTTTGGCTCTTCTTTTCAGTTTCATAACTAAGCCTAAAGTGAGAACACAAAATAAACCAAATAACCCAGGATTGTGATGAAAAACAAAGCTTTCTTAGAAGTCAATAACCTGTGAACCTATTTAATCGGTCAAGAAGATTCAACTATATCATGTAACATGAGAAATATTTAAAACAAAGTTTTAATATGATAGAAACTTCTGGCTGAGGGGCTTTTGAATTAAATCTTTTTATAAATATTTAGGAAAACAGATTTTTCAGTCTGCAGCCCTGAGACTTTTTTTTGGCTTGCACCAGACATCCTGAGCCTGCAGCTAATAAATTGCTGAAATATCAAAATTTAAAGGCAATACTGTAGATTCCTATGGGACTCCTCTTTTCCAACAGCCCTTCATGCTACCAAAATACCCTTACCCCACTAAAATCAGGAGTTTCATCAGAAGTGGCTTGATGCAGATTGCCTATACTATCTCACTGCCTTATTAGAAGACAGGGAATACACTGCACAAAAGAGGCACCTCTAATCTGTTCAAGAAATTACGATTAGTAATTGGTTTTGCTTATCTGAATCAAACCCGCTACTGTGTACTGGATATGGCTCTTCCAGAGAATCTCTGCTGCTTTCTGGAAACATTTCTTGAGAAAAACATTCTCTTTTTATGGCATAGTTATAAGGGATTTTATTTTATTATAGCTCTCATTTTCATTATTATTAAAATAAACATTTCCATGAAACCAGGATTTTTATTCATTGAGAATTATTCATAATGCCAGCACTTTCTTTTATTCATTTAATTATTTTCATCTTTGAATAGCAATAAAACATGTTAGTTACTACTAACTAGTTACTATCTATCATGGTAGAACAGTATAAATCAATTCTTTTTTTTCCATTAACATCATAAACGTATATGTGACATTGCAGTAGACTGTCATCAAAAATACTATTTTCACACACAAATAGATGGTATTTTTATATAGGAGAAAAATGAGTGCCAGGAGAACTTTCACACAACTGTTTCTAAAATAAATGAGTTAAAAACCGGCACAGCACAAAAACATACTGATCTTTGATGCTTTCAGACTACTGTTGCTTCCTGCAGTCCGTCTCTGGAATCTTCATGTCATGTGTAAGTGAATCTAGAGAACAGGAATATGGATACTGCTTGTAGAAAATACTAAAGAAAAAATCAAATCAATAAATTTTATTTTACTAGCATACTTGTTCTCATTTTGTTGCACAAGGTGGTACAGCCATTGCAAAGTTGCCACAAAGAAAGAATTCATAGAATTATGGAATCATAGATTCATAGAATGGTTTGGATTGGAAGAAGGGAACTTAAAGATCGTCTAGTTCCAACCACCCTGCCATGGGTCAGTGACACCTTACACTAGACCAAGTTGCACAAAGCCCCATCCAGCCTGTGCAATGGGGCACCTACAACTTCTCTGGGAGGGAACTGTTAGGAATCCTAAGCGTTAGAAGATAATTTTCTATGAATTTATAACATACTGTTAATTTTTAGTAAGCCAAATAACGTATCCTTAATATTTTTGTGCCTATTAAAGCTTCTGACACATTTTATTAATCCACAGAGGTATAATACTGTAATCAAAGCTACTGTTCTTTTAATCCTCCTCACAATGCAGGTCTTGAACCCAGTTTTTAATTTTTAAGTCCAATCTTTTCTTTTTATGAATACAGACTAATTGTTGCCAGGAATATAAGGGGAAGTACAAGCCATATCTTTGATCCTTATTATAATGTTCCCTATTGCTCAACACAGGCATAGTTTCATCATAGAATCACAGAATAATTAGGGTTGGAAAGGACCTTAAGATCATCAAGTTCCAACCCTCATGCACACCTGGGAGAAAAAAAAAAATTAAACCACACACACACACACACACACACAAAAAAGGAAGAACTTAAAAAATAAAAAACCCACACCAAAAATGTTTAAGTTATTGGTGTTGGATATCCACATGAAAAATTGATCATACATCATACTGTAATGTTTTGTTTTCTTAACATTTGTCAGTACATCCTTCCACCTTTCATCATTCATGATCCTTTCTTTTTCTTTACTAAGACAGGATTTCCATTTGAAAAAGGATTTTCACATGATTTAAAGTATTTTTTTGACTTTTAAAATAATCCCTCAAAAGCTTGCCAAACTCCATGTCTACTGTCTAGTTCCAGAGGTGTCAAGGAGGATCATCTAGTAAGTTCTTCCTTCTCCAAAATGCTTTTATATGCTTCAAAAACTAAAAGCCTTCCTGTATAAATCTACTATTTCTTCATGTACTGGCCCCCTGGAATTCACCTGCCTAGCAATTAATTTTGCCTGTCAGTTTTGAAACATGGAAGATAAAATGACTAATGTGTTTGCAGAAAAATACTTCTTTTTCATGGGGACAAAAAAAAAAAAAAAAACAGAAAAAAAAAACGCCACCACCACTAACCAAAAAAAAAAAAAAAAAAAAAAAAAAAAAAAAGCGCCAAAACCAAACCCAAACCCAAACCATCCATATTTAGCTCTACATGGAGGTAAAACTTTTGGAGCAGTCAAATGACACTTTCTGAACCTTTTCATTGTCATGTAATCTTCACAGCCTATTCCTGGCCAGTATATCTTCTAGAAAGTCTTCTGCTATTGCTGATTTGCAAGGGTAATTTGCCTACCAAGTTTTCAATTCACGGCACTTTCTGGTGGTTTAAGGTGTGGACACTTTTCAGTGGGCAGGTCTGAAAGCACACACTGAACCTATTCCTATACAGTTGATACCTGGGAATTCCTCTACCTGAAGACAAACTGAGCACCCAGGCCAGAACACAGCCCCTCTAACCACCAGCAGTACCCCAAACTGTGCTGTGGGTCCTCCCAGGGAACACTCCTGCCCCCTTTATCAGAATTATGCATATGTATGAAGGAGGAATTTTGTTAAAACAGATTTTCATGGCAAACACATTGCTGCAAAAGCTGGATGATCCATCGAAAAATTATTTTTTAATGAAAAACACTAAAACACAATAGCTCACCTTATCATGAATGTAAAAGTGGTCCTTACTACCTACTGAGCAACAGCCATGGCTTCAGGAGCCTTGTCATCTAAGAGCTGTTATCCCCCTTTGTCTTCTATGAAGCTTCCTGGCCAGGCTATATTTCCCATTATTTGCTGGAGCCAACCCTTACTAGAATGGCATTTCTTCATCAGAACACAGGTTTCATATGGTGAGTTTTTCATTCTGTTCCTCTTTCCCCTATTATTGGACCATATTTCTGAGGTGGAAGACTGGCGCATCCAGGGCTGAAATTCATTCAGACTTCACAGTCTTCAAGCACTACTGGGACTTTGAGATCTATGAGTTGCAGCTTGCTATATTTTCCCTATGATAAATTCACAGCATCAGCTGAGCACCCTGTCGGCTTTAGAGCACCCTTATACTGCCCTGTCCCAAAGACTGGATATAAAATAGAAAGCACACAATGCATTTCTTGTACCTCCAGGCTCCACCATGCTGTATAGTTCAGCCATACATCTGGAAGTCCTGGATCCATTTACAGATAACAGTTACACAGTTCCCTTTTAATGAATCCAGGACTCAACTGCCGCAGAAAGCCAGCAGAATATTTTAATCTGAGGTTGAGGTCCAGAGATGAAGAAAACTGCTGATAGGCAGAGCCCACTTGCCAGCAATTTTTTACCACTTAGAAGGTTTAACAGAAAATGGTATTAAATTCAACTCCTTTCACCACTGACTTAGTCAAACTAATCATTAATTCATTAATGTGATGGGTGGCTTGTATCCATGGCTGAAATGCCACATATTTCAGTCTGACTCATTGCCGCTGCTGAAGTTCTGAATTGTTTTGTCTCACAGTGCTTTCAGCTACGCTGCTAGTCTTTGCTTACTCATATTAATAGCTTTGCCATAGCCTCATGTCTTCCTCTCCATCACCCTCCCAGCACCTGTGGGCACAACCCAATTCTTGTACTCTGAGACAGGCTGCAAGATTTACAGCCTCATCCACAAAAGAGGAATTCTCACTCCTCTGGAGAAGTCAGTCACAGCTTTATCTCTCCTTGTTGCTGAGTGTATGCTACAGCTGATCTAAGAAAGCCTTGGAAGGTGGCTGAGAACTGGAGCTGCTGGCAAGGCAAAGAAGTGGCAGTCATTCCTCACCGCCTCCAAGAATTCATTCTGCAAGGGGGATTTTCCTCTCATTTAAGCCTGAAAACATTCCTAAGAGGAACAGTTTGTCCTCAAGTTGGCATAATGTTGCACTAAACATTTGCCACTTACTGTTCTGCAATCTGTTAAGCTTCCTGTGAAAGCAGTAAGATACCACAGAAGCACTTTTGTAAACAGAGTCCTACATCATTTCATTAAAGTACTGTGGCAATACTTATCTGGGAACAAAACAAGGGGAAGTTGCATCAGTATGTGGGCTGCAAATGAGGCAAGGGGAACCATTATTCTAAATTAACACAGAAAAACAAATTGTATTCAACCATGAAGCTTTTTACGAGGAAGAGCACGTAGAAAATAAAAAATACAACTCTTAACACTAAGCATAGGACATACAGATAGAAATAGAAGGCTGTAATTTGAGAGTAGTCCTGACATGCATTTACAATTGAAAATAAAGAGAAGAAGAAAAACAGCGAAAGTTTCAATAAGCTCTAAAAACGCTCCTAGAAATAAAGGAGAAATGCGCTTCTTACAAAGATTCTGGACAAGTGAGAAAGAAGTTCCTTCCTTTCTCATTGTACAAGGACACCAGCACCACACTAGGCAACCCAGATTCCTTGCTTGTCTAAGGCTGTTGCTATTTCTTTACTTGCTAAATGGTAGAGTTTATTTGCAGTCTTGAATCATAATCCTATTTGCTATGCACTTTACAAGCCCTCTACTGCTAACAATCTAATTACAACACAAGAATTAACAGATAAACGCAGATTAACATCACTCAGTGGATCTAGGAAGTCCTTTCTAGTTTAGCATCTTGGGAAAGCACCCTGAAACAGTGTTGTTCACCATGACAAACACTGGTTGAAGGACATCAGCACCCTAACTGCTGACATCTGCACCCTAACTGCCATCAGTTTTTGCAGCTTTCTGATTTTTTGAATGGATCTTCAGGAATGTAGCAGAATGAGAGCCCTGTACTTGTGTGTATCTCTGAAAAAAGTGATCAGGCTGAACCTACTCAAGAGGTGGCAAGTAACCAGATTGCTGGAATAAACCAGTTAAAGCACTACACTGCAGAAGATTAAACATGCTTAGAACTGAAACTGAAACTGGCTAGACCAGAATGTCCTATGCCTGTGCTACTGACCACTATTTCTCTCCAAACCACAGGAGCTGCTTCCAAACTGACTGGAGGGAATAGCCTCTATTCTGTACTAAGTCTCAAGTACTGCCCAAAACCTGCTGGAAGGAGTCTGAGCTGACCCAGCTCAAACCTGGGACTATGTTAATGATCTAGTACTACAGATGACTGAGTTTATTACTCCAGGAGATTTAGCATAAGGATGTCACCTGTGGCACTAACCTCAAGGAAGTCATAAGCAAGAATTAACTGGAGAACAATGGTGCTTTCAAGATCTTACTGCAAAAGTACACTAACTGGTTTGCATGCCTCTGTGTACCATAGGAAGAAAACAAATTGATACTCTAGAAAGAAAGCTCCTAAAGGAGCTCTTGTTCAGCAGAACATTGCTTGGAAGGGCAAGCTCAGAACTATAAGCACAGAAACTATTTTCTTTTGTCTGCTGCTACTGTAAGGCAATGAGTTTGGTGAGTGCTGCAGAGAGGAAGGCTGAGGAGGAAGACAAGGGCATTCCTATTTACAGACAGACAAGACTGCACCAAAAATGTGCCCTACTTGACTTACATAAGCAATTTGAATTTCTGTTTATGTAAGCAATCCAGATAGACCACAAATACTTTCTAAGTGCTCAGGTGAAAAGTGATTGTAAGTCTGAGAAAATGCTCTGAAATGCAGAGCCCAAGGCTGTGACATCAACTGCAGACCTCTGCATACTAAGGCTGGATGATGGTGAGTCATGACATGCATAAAATGGTAGTATTTGAGAAGCTCATCATAACCAAGTCCAGTGAAATTTATTGTTCTTAATCTGCAATCAACTCAGAACAAATTGACATAATTGAGAGAATCTGACTTGGAGACATATATAAAGATGTATTTTAATGTATTTTAATATTTAATGTATTTTAAAATCTTATGTATAAGATGAATGCATTTTCTGTTCTTAAATGACATAAATGAGCATTACCTGTTTCTAAATGAAGTAATGCTGCATTTCACCCAGTAAAGAAGACAGGCCATAGCTGATTACTACTCATTCTGTCTCTGGGCTGAGAAACCGATTGATACTCTTAAATCCTGCCAAAACTGAACTTTTGTGCAAACTTGTGTCTTACAGTACAACTGAGGATTTACATCAACACATGGAGTTAGATCCTGCCTGAAGGCGCAACTGGATTTACCTTGCTATAAGAGAGACCCTTCAGTCTTTCTTTTTATTTTTTTCTTTTCCAGATAAAAATGCCAATTCCAATTTTACTCCTGGACTGCAGGACAAAACAACTTGTCCTATGTCAAGGGAGTTGGTCTGCCGTGGCAGCTGAAGGGGGATGTGTTGCGCATGAGTGGCATGAGCAGTAGCACACTCAACAGCGTGAGGCAGGTGTCACTAGGCAACAGGAGTAACCATAGTAACTTGCATCCCAAGCGGCGTGCAGATTTCCGAGATTAGTCATTCAACTGGAAAAACACGTTAAAGAAAAAAAAAATACTATCACAATACGACACGGTATCTACACAAATACTGTTGTAATGACGACATGCATTTAAATTAATCTTACTTTACCAGGACCTGTTTGTTCCACCTCAGACTTGAAGAGATTTAGGTCATATAATGGTTTGGGTTGCAAGGTCCCCTAAAGATCATCTAGTACCAGCCCTCCTACCACACACAGGGACACCTTCCACTAGATCAGGCTGCTCAAAGCCCCATCCAACCTGGCACTGAATACTGCCAGCAACAGGACATGGTCACTCACTTTCAGATATTTGGGGTTGCAGCATTAGCGACATAACAAGACCTTTGGACACAGGTCAAATGTTTTTAAATTTGTCATTAGGAAAATACCCTGGAGAAGCTTTAAATGCTACAGGAAAAATAGTAGAGATGCTTTAGATATAACGGACCAGTGAGATTGACCATTCCTTCCCCCAAAAGTTTTGATGTTTAAAAACATTGATGTTTAGTTGGCACATATGATTGTTGGTTGATTAATATCAAAGTTGCCAGTAATCATGTGCCCACATTAATGCCCTTAATGCTTGTCATCTTCTGTGTGCTGGAGATTTCCAAGAAGCAAAGGTGGCTCAGAGAGTGCAGTATCCAGGAGGCCTAAATCAAGCCATAGCAGCAGGGACAAAGAGCAGGAGGGTCACCAGCACCTTCCCTCCAGCACTTGCAAGAGCGCAATTGTGTAGAATACACCCACATTATTTTAACAAAGCCAGAAAGCTTCCAAAATCTTTGGCAGTCTGTGGCCACTACACCCCTGAGCAAAACTCCCAGTTCCAAGCTGCAAACCCTTTCAACCTTGCACATTCCACACATCCCCAGAGAGGCTAGTATCACCAGTTTCTTTCCTACCACTTCTTTCACCTAATGCTAAATAGCTGAGTCAACAAAATCAATCTGTAGTTAGTATAGGCATTCACAAGAGCATGGATTTATCCTTGCACAAAGGCTGTACTCCAACGGATTAGCTCAGTCGTTCCTTATAGGGGCTTGTAAAACAAATTATTGATTCCCAGGTGTTGAAGGGATGCTAATTAGAATTAGAATTCGCAGCAACAGCTATTTCATCAGAAAAACAATTGTAAAACCATATCAAGAAGCTCAGGTGGAAATTAAAAAGTAATCTTTCTTATCTGGATATATTAGCTACTTCAAATATGAATGTAAAGCACTAAACAAATGAAGTAATGATAATACACATGCTATGTCCAACATATCTTGCCTTGCTCAAACTAGTTTACTTGTTTACCATTGGAATGAGTCAGCCCCTGCAACTTACTTTAATCTACTTATTCAACTTTATTAAAATCATGCTTTTCAGTTTTGATCACTAAGCCAAATAATACACAATGTGAGCAAAAAGCTTATGAAAATCTGTATAAACTATTTTGATCAGTCTTAACCAAAAGATGAATTTGGCTTCAAACAATGAGCCTTTCTTTCTATGAAGCCTTTTAGGAAATCCCACTGCAAATATTCTTAAACTTGCATGGTAGCTACTGAGGCTACCATTTACATGCTAGAAACATTAAATTTGATTTACCGTGCACTGCAGAAAAACAGAGGAGAAAGGAAAAAAAAAAAAAAAAGCTGACACGTCATACATTTCCAATACTAACACAGAAACTACACTTTGACCAGTCTTGGGGTTGGGCTTAAGCAATGCTGGGTTCCTGGGACATAGGCATTTAGAAAGAGCTCCATAATTCTGTAGATTTTGCCTCATGAAGCCTAAATGTATATGCACTTCTATACAGTTTCATTGCAGACACTCTCACACATAGTTGCACAATTAGCAGAGATTCTGAGATTCAGGAAAAAGCTTTTTCTTAATCAGAGATGTGAAGAAGGAACAAAGTGGTTTGAGCCTTAGCAATGAGTGGCTTCTTTGTAAATAATATTTCACAGAAAGAGAAGTCTTAGACTAGATAATTAGAATTAATATATCTTATAGTAAGGTGACAGCCATCTAGAAAGACCACAAAGAAAACTGAAACATGACACACTATAATCGATGCTTAATATAAAAAACTATTTGGTTTAGAAGCTGGGCTGCAAATCTCATAACAAATTTATTTTCACATGACTGCCCAGACTTTCTGCTTTAGCCTGGCTTGGAAATGCCTTGGCCTTTCTCACAGTGTTACTGCATTTCTTCTCCCAAACCCAGCCAAAAGCTGAGGCACATCAGACTGCAAAAAATGAAGGAATAAATTATTTATGAAGTAAAACAAATCTCTTCCGGAACGTTGAAGCTAATAAAGCTCGGTTTCCTATAAATTTGTGCCTTGTACTTGCTTGACTTTGACCAGATGTGAGCAATTGAATCATTGCTTTTCACAAACTGCTGTCCAAATGAAGTTTTTCATTCCAGGCTCCAGGCTTCTTTTTCATGCACATTCTAATAGAGTATAAATTTCTACTGAAGGCTTTAATTAACACACTCCTCTAACTGTTCATTTATTCACAGAAAACTTGAAGCTTAATTATTTTTGAGATCTCTACCATTTTGCCAAATGTAATAGAAATCAGATAGGACTTCCCAGTTATTTGGGGGGATTCAGAAAATCATCATATATGTAAAACAACATCGGAACATAAATCTGTATAAACCTCATTTCTGTTTGACAAGATATATATACATTTTTATTTTTAAGTGTGGATTCAAGATTGGTTTGGTTGCATTACTCTGAAAGTTGCTACATTAGCCTGGGTCTGTACTGTAAAAGGTTCAGCTCTGGTGCCAAAATATGAGGGTTCTTGGCTTTTTGGACCTGGTGCTGCCCATAGGACTGTACATAAATTTTATTTAAATCTGGCTTTGACTTCTTTGTGCCATTATCATCTGTGAAGTTTGTGAAGATAGATTCTTAGTTCAAATCCCCTAGCTGCTGCTATTAATCTCTTCATATCTAAACAGTCTCTTAAAGGATGGAAAACTTCTTTATCCCATTTTCTCTTCATTATTAATCTGTTCACTGAAGTGCTGGAGTTGGTTCTGAATGCTAAGGAGGAGCACCTCTTAGCTTGCTAATAAGGACAAACACAATATAAGTATTTTTGCAAAATCCTAACAACTGTGGCTAGCTTTAGAAGAATTTTCTGTGGTGACAAATAAAATCAGTTCTTTATTAAAAAAAAAGTGTGCTGAATTTTCCCAGAGGAGAAATGGTTGCATATGAGATTCTCATACAACACTGCAGTATTTATTTTTGAATGCAGTGTCAGAGCATACAGTTCATACAATGCAATTGAGTACAAGTGCTTTTACATTTCAAACTGCATTAAATGGATCATATCTCACCATTACTGAGCTTAGGGCTGAACAGAAAACAGATATCTCCTCAAGAGGTTGCCTGCAATTGTCTGTTAGTTTTGATTTTTCTTAATTATTTATTTCAACACTTAATGTTCTGCAATTTAATATGCCCGTATCTGTAGTAAACTGCATTTTTAACATTTGTTTTCACAACATTGTCCCCATGGACTTCAATGAAGTCCAACAATATCACAAACAATTTGTGAAATAAGACAGTTCATGGACAAATTCAAGTAAACTAGCGTCACGGCAACTGAAATCGATCCTACCCACCTACAGTGTGGATTTTGGGGCTGAATGTGCCCAGACCAGAAGTGACCTCTCATGTTGCTGAGATTCCCTCACCTGCAACCACTGTTATTCCTGCTGGGCTGGAATAAGACTCTCAGGCCCTTGTGCATGCCCAGTGTGTCCACTGCCCTACAGCATGCACTAGCCTGAGAGGGCAAACAAGAGGGCACAGACACCCACAGCCTTTTTGAAACCGTGTTTCTCATTCTGGCTTCTGATCTGAGCTCTGCCTGTGCAATACCCGCTTAAGAGACATGGATAAAAGGCACAAACAGTATTGGGAATAGACATTTCCCCATTCCCTGCAAGTTTTTATCTTCCTGGCTCCATGAATTTTTTGCAGCCTTTTCTGCACAGTGGTCCAGCTTTATCCACACTATAGACATCTATAAGATTACACTCTAAACTGTTGTATTATATCTTCTGTGAACAGAAAGTGTTCATGCCACTTAACTGAAGGAAGAATTTTTAAGAGATGATAGATTAAATTTTCATTGGTATTTCAGTGAAATATATGGAAGATTTGATATCTGTCCTGATATTTTATTCTTTTTAAGCATGAGTAGCAAATAATAGAGACAAACAAATAGGTCACTTCTTTATATAAAAGTGTGTATCTGATATGTATTGATATGTATCAAATATTCAGATATGCATAAGGAAAGGGAGTTAAAAACAAAAGAGCTACTTCTCCCAATCTATCCATCTTAAGTTAGAAAACAGGCTCATATATTTTTCCTCAGAGATGATATTGAGAAATCTGGAGGAGGAATAATTGGCAATTGAAATTTATTTTAATCAAATTGCAAGATAATTATTGTTTAATATTCTACTTTGATAAAGCTGCTTTTCTGCTTGACACATCTGTTAAGCTGTACATTCAGAACTGTTCTCTGTGAGAACCTGAAAGCACAGATTACTCATCACCACCTAATTTGATAATGTTCACAATCAAGTACATTTGTATTCTGCTATATTTGTTCCACACCTGAAACAAACAGAGTGTATCTCACTTCACAAAGTACACAAAAGTAAAAATGTAGCATTACAAACCTAACTAATTAGGCAATGGTGAACTTCTGTTTAGGTGGCTGAAAAGATTGGCAGTCCCAGGTTGGTTGTTCCTGTCTGTCTCCTGCACGTTGTTGAGCCCACAACCCTGCTGTGGGAGGAAACTTGTAAACAATGCTCCTTTTACTTCAGGCAAAGGTATGTGGGCTTGTACACAGCCGTCTATCACCACTGCCACTGACTATCTTATCAATCTTGCCTGAAAGTAGATTAGAAAATGGATGCACAAGCCTTCTGGCAGACACGTCATAA